CCTCCTCCTCCTCTTCTTCTTCTTCTTCTTCTTCTTCTTCTTCTTCTTCTTTTTTTTTTTTGTACTGGGGATTGATCTCAGGTCCTTGCGCTTGCAAGACAGGCCACCGAACCACTGAGCTAAATCCCCAGCCCTTCTTCTTCTTTTTTTGCATTGCTACTTTTTAAATTTTTTTTCAAAATATACAGTCTTGCTATATAATCCAGGCTGGCCCTGAAAAATATTTATTTAGCCCAGGATTGTGCTGCCGTTCCTGGATTTCTTTTCTTCGTTAGTCATAATAGGGAAGGGTAACAGCATAGCATTAACAGCACAGCACGATAACAACCCAAATGCTAACAGAGACTTGGTCAGCTTTGATTTCTTGAATTTATCGTTAAGGCAAGGCCAAAGTGTGGGACAGAGATCTTGAGACGGAGATTTCCTGGCAAATTTCGTGTGGTTTGAAAAGCCTCAGTGTGACCATTATATAATTTAGGACAGGATCTAAGCATTTCTTCAGTTGTGTTTTGCAGAGTTCTTATTTAACCATACCACATACTCACTGCTAAGTTTCATGAGCTTCCACTGACATCACACTTGGGTTCTCTAAAGAAAACGAAACTGAGACCTGATGGAGCAAAGTAAAAGTCAAAAAAGACATAGGCCTCAAATAAGCACTATCAGCCAGAAATGTCAAAGAACAAAGTAAAACAGAATTTTTAAAAAATCAACCAAACAAACAAAATATCAAAAACATTCCAGGACCAATATCTCAGCAACTCCTGGTAGCCCAGTAGGCTGCAGCTTTTAGAAGACCAGTAGGCTATACCTTCTGCAGACCGTTAGGCTTCACTCCTGAGTGTGTTTGGCCTGGAGAAAGCACACTGAGACCTGTTGTGTGGGGCCCAGACTCTGAGGAGCCTGGAAGGGAGGTGTTACTTTCCTAACTGTGTGGGTGCTACATGTTCTGAAGAAAAGTGAGCAAAGGTAACACTTCTATAACTTTAGTTCTCCCCTAACATCTTATTATTTGTGGTTTGTTTTCTGATT